TTAACAATGTACCACGATATTCCACACACCTGCACGTACGGTACCATGTCCCAACTTCCCGACTTCTCTCTACATTCGTGGCACCAAAACGAGAACCGTTTGATTGGTTGACCTTCCGTCATAACATTAACCCTATTGCCAAATACGGCATCCTAAAAATTACGTCATGCTTGTCACGGCCAGCGGTCTGCATTCGATTTGACTCACTCTTTTACAAGTCTCTAATTCTCATCAAAAAAGTTTCTCAACATAAACTGACGCTGGTGGCGCTTTCCGAAATGCGCTAATGTACTACGAAAAATCCATAAATTAGAGACTTGTGGCAAGCCTACATGCAGCCAAAAAAGCTACCAAAATTCTTAACTTCATTAGGAGAAATTTCCACCGCTCATCCGCAGCCATCAAAGAAAAACTCTACCTGACCCTTGTACGCCCTCACATTGAATACGCCACAGCTGCTTGGGACCCATACACCCAGAAAAACATTGAACACCTCGAAAAAAAATCCAGAGGCGAGCTGCAAGGTTTGTCACCGTCCAACACCTATGGACGTGCTACATCTATCTCCTCAATATTAAATACTCTGCGCCATTAATTAGGAAAATACACCACACCGAAAACCAACGACGGACACGATTGAACTATAGAAGGAGTTTATTTACGTGTGACATTCACGCAGAAACGACATGAACAGCCATGCTGCCAAGAGAGAGAGAGTGGCCGCCACCTGAGGGCGCACCATGGCATGGCGTGACTTGTTTTTTTTTTTCTTATCCATTGTGTTTTAACTTTCTTAAACTAAACAAGAGCGAAAACCACAACATTGTATTATAAATACAGAAGTAACATAGCAATATGAGACTATACCCATACTTTCTTGTAAACAGGTATGAAACTGAAGCGAATATAGCTCAATTTATCAGTGGAAAATACATACTACTGTACAAATAAATATAACAACATGACAAAAGTACAGTGAAACCTGTAGGTAGGTATGTACACCCAGGCTGATCAGCTAGTAAAACACAATATTGTGTAGTCACAATACAGTATTAGTGTCTCGGGATTGAATAAAAGAATGCAGTCGAAAAAGGAAAAAAAATGAAATTAACAAAATATGAGCACACAATCTAGGCAATTTACACAAAGGACCAATCAGGACAAATTAAACAAATGATAAAACAAAGCAGTGCAGTTTGAAAACATAACACAAGAATAATCTAAAGTATCGGCATTGATTATACAGTATAAAACAGATATTGGATGGTATGTGGAAATCAAGCAATAAGAACATACACAAAGTGATTCCAGTGCTAACACTAGAACTTAACAGGACCAGTGAAAACTCATTTGCAAATTAAGGCTCCATAATAGCTAATTATGATGGCGAAAGTAACCTTTGGCGAAGTAAACGCCAATGATATGTTGTTATCAAAGTAAAATACAGGGTATTATTTAACTCAATATGTCAATCAATCATAGTAATAAAAATAACAATTACAAGGAACAATAATTAAAAATACATTCAAAAATCAGAAGTGCTGAATATCAAAGAACAAAGAGGCCAGTAGCCTAGCTTCTAGTCCAGGATATGGACAAGATTGCTGCTTATTGAACATGTTGTCCGAGTCAACAAAGAGTTTCCACAATTCAAGTACCTGCATAATGTCCCCTGCCTCGCACAGAAGTTGCAGTTATGGAAGGCAACTGCTGTTAAGTGAGTTTACTGTACATTGTAGCTCTCCAAGTATTCTCTGATAGCAAAATTATTGTAGTGAATGATTGTTCTGGATACAGGGTCTCGGTCAGTAGTATTGTTCGGTGTGTCCTGGTTAGATGGGTTGATCCAATTGATGGACTAGACATTTATGGCACCGTCACTCATATAGAATTAGTTGTATATCAGCAAATAATCAATTATGGAACACAATAAAATATGCTGAAGGATCCTCCATTGTAGTAGGATAGGTAGGCACTGCTCAAATTCAGTCACTATTGAGTTCACCCATTAAAAGCCAGCAAATTATGTTTATCAGCAAGGTTGTGAATTTTTCCAACATGCCAAATGTGTCGATAATGTCGTGCAGATTTCTAACTGGTGGTGATGGAATGAAACGGGCTCGAGCAAGGTGGTGGTGGGTCTGTCCGTTGGCTTTGGCCTTGTTAGTTGTAGTAGATGACGTATATATAACAACAATGACGAAACATACAACAGGGTACATTGCTCCTCCATGGCAAGAGAGTTATTCGATATCTTTCTCCTGGGAATGCGATACCACCGTAAACAGTACGATCCTTATCATCAGGCGAGTGTAAGGGCCATGACGTGTTCAGTTCAAGGCGTTCTCACTGCACTTTAGCAGAACCATCGCCGCATTATGTTGCAAGGTCGCCGAATGTGGAGTATGTATGTAGGGCCCAGGCCTAGCTCGATTCTTTGAACTAGCATCCCCGGGTTACCTGAAAATGTACGTGGGTGAAGTCGTCTCGACGCTGCCACCACGCCATTAATTAGGAAAATACGCCACACCGAAAACCAACGACGGACACGATTGAACTATAGAAGGAGTTTATTTACGTGTGACATTCACGCAGAACCGACATGAACAGCCATGCTGCCAAGAGAGAGAGAGAGTGGCCGCCACTGGCCGCCACCTGAGGGCGCACCATGGCATGGCGCTGGGCTGGACCTCTCTGCAAGAGAGAAGAAAACAACACCGTTGCTCATGCTTTCACAAAATCCTCAATGGCCTGAGGGACATAAACCACCACGACTATATTACACCAAAACCAGCCAGACCCAGACGAGGACACAACTAACAATTCCAAATCCCTCAGACAAGGACCGAAGTTTATGCAAACTCCTTCTTCCCCCGCACTATATAAGACTGGAATCCTGTCCGATATTATTAATTGCAATATAAACCCCGACCCCTTCAAATCTGCACCTTCACAGAAAAGCAACGAAAAAAAAGTTTAGACCGACCACTCTCTCCACGCCTCCTGTTAAAATCCCTCACTGGGATATCAACCAAGCAAGTACCAAGATCAATAGAGGGCGACATATAGTCTGACGTGTAATCTTTTAGGCTTACATTCGTTTCCTAGTATTTTAGTACAGTAAACCCATACATAAAAATTCTATAGAACTTTATAGTCCTTCCATAGAGACTAATCAATGTCTACAGATATTAGTATTTTCCATAAAATTGTTTGATAGAGGAACTACTTTCTATAGAATTCTATAACATACTATATACACATACTTAATGTAATTTCTATGTTTTTAATTTTTGTTTTGTTTCATTCAATATTTTATCGACACATTCGTGTCTGACTAGTATAGTTCTACCAACATGTTTCACATCTTGCATATTCTACATAAATTCTATAGAATATTCTATACAGATGATATGACAAGTTCTCTATAATAAAACTATAAAATTTTATATTCTATAAAAAATTATAGTCCTTACCTGTATTTTTTTTTTAAATGTATTATAACAATTTTATAGGGATTATCTCTATAGGAACATATACAATCTATATAGAGTATAACATATATGAAATTTCAATATAAATTTATTTATTTATAGCATATTCTGTAGAACTGTATAATATATAAAAACTGTAACTTTTAATAGTCTATAGAAAATATATAAAAAATATATATAAAAACTCTATGGAAACGTTTATAATCTGTAAAATTGTTTCTCTATAGAAAGTATATGTAAAATGAATACGAACGCTATTGAAGTGTTTATCTGTAAATGAAATATTAAAAATTATTTTGAAAATTATATCTATAAAAAAAAATATGTATAGAATGTATATATAAAATCTATTCAAACTCCAGAAAAATTTCTGGAACCACTAATACATTGGTAGCATTATGGGGACTTTATGGGGAGGGGGGTTGTTCTGTAGTCACCTAAGCTTATCCCTCACCTATTTACCTAACAACAATGCTTTAGGGTTGACAGCAAAATGTTACCAACAGCCTAACCTGTTTACTGTGATAGCCCACCTACCAACCAATTAATGTTAGTGTCGAATTGCACAAATCTGATTAGTCACTTCATCAAGTGACCAATCAGCTAATTTGAATTGTCACTTCATGTAGAGCCAACGGAAGCGGTAGTATTTTGAATTTTTCTTTGCACTTTCATGATTTTAGGCAGTTATAAACATACTCCTTGGAAGTATTTTAGCCGTACTTTATTCTCTATCAAGTGGTAAGAGTTGGTTTTCTTTTATTATTTAGTTAGTTTACTACTCTAGCAGACACGCTAGCCTCCTCCTAGGCCTACCAGTAGCGGTAGATGAAGGCTTGAATGAAGAGGCCTGGCATAGCCTAAGGTCTAGGCCTAGCTGTACAGGTAATACTAGCCTAGTCGCTGTACAGAGACAGAGAAAAATGAGGTTCTCTGTTCTCTCTAGGCCATTGAGGATATAGGGTTAGGCCTACAGTAGAACCTGCGCCTTTTGTTGGCCTAGCCAAGCTGTAAGTTAATTGCCCCATAGTCTAGCATGCCATTAAAAGAGTGGTAAATTGCATTTGGGCCGTGTCCTCACTAATGTCCATGATGCTTTAATAAAATTTAGGGTTAACCGGGGAGGGGGTGGTGTAAAGAATTGTATCATTATTTGCAGAAATTTAATGAATTAAATCTCTAGGCCTATACTAACATAATGTAAGTGGTGATTTTATTTCAGGATACTCAAGTCTCAGTTACTACTGTAATTAAGTAAAAACTCAATCTTGTAGTATGAAAGCATTAGTGTTTGTTTAAAGACGTATCTGTGAAGAAACAGAAAATTACCTGACATTCTATAGTGCTTTAATAAAATAATCGGTTTATAGTCAACTGGGGGTAGGGGGTGTAAAGAATTGTATCATTATTTGGAGAAAGTAATGTAATCAAAAGGCCTATACTAACAACATAAATGGTGACTTTATTTCAGGATACTCAAGTCTCGGTAACTACTGTAAGTGAAAACTCAATCCAGTAAACTCAATCATATTGTAGTAGGAAAGCATTAATGTTGTTTGAAGACGTATCTGTGAAGGAACAGAAAATTACAAGACTTACTAAAGGTGAATAATATTTTGTTGACTTTTTATTTTTACTGTCCTGTACTATTAATGTATTAACAACATATGATATAGATGATGCTATAGTTTTCACGATAGAGTTTAATCAAATTTAATGTGTATATATTAGGCCTATAGGCCTTAGGGGATATTGAAATTGTAATGTAGGCTAAGCTGTTTTGAAAACTAAAAAAAAATGATTTTCTTTTGATTATTTAAAGAAGAAGCAACTGCTAATCCGTCATTAGCTACATATATGTATATTACTCCTATTTCAATACAATAATAAAGGGATGTAATACATTTAGTAGCGGTTTCTATAATATGCGCTCTATGTACTGTATAAGTTTACCATTATTATTCTTTTTAAAGATTTTGTTTTGTTATATCTTTCAGCAAAATTGAAACTCCGAAAAATGTCAGTACAAGTTACTCAGTGATTCAATATTTTAAACTAGACTTGTTCAACGGCATAATTCATACTAATTTAGCTTGGTACCATCGGACAAGAAAATGCATGGTTTTGGACAGTTGCTGCTGCAATATCACAAAGAATGCTGGTTTATGCACACCTGTAACACAAATGATTCTTGAATATTGTTTTATATAATAAACT